ATAGAAACGCATTTAAAATGCATTTCAAAACGCCCAAATTATTTGCTGGCCAGAAGTGCAACCTTGCAGCTTTTTCCCCTTCCAAAGTAGTTTTTCTCTCATCTCTGGGTGGACACAATCACCTGGCAAGTAAAAGAATGTCCAAATTGCCAAGCTCAACTTCATCATAGTGCCCAGGGCAAAGGTATCCAAAAAATAATAATAATGACAATACAAATATGAAAAAAAAATTTTGGCTGGACAACCGGTCTTTATGTCTCCCTTCCCCAGCTTCCCGCCCAACTAATTGAACGTTTCCGGGGGGACAAGCAAAAATGAATCATTCCTTCCAGAAGAGACACAAAGAACTATAAAAAAAAAAAAAAAAGTTCCGAGTGTCATTTCGGGACCCCTTGAAAAATACCCTGATTCTGGGTCCTGGTGAGGGCGATGACTCCATGGATATCCCAGCTATATAGTGTTCAAACCTCTGAAAGAATGCCCCATGAGAGAGATTTTAAAAATAAAAATAAATGATTTTGTTTTTAGAGACAGGGGTCGTTTCGGGTGCTGATTCACCCCCGCGGGGGATTCCTAGCATAGTGCACCGTTTACGCCAGATGTTTAAAAGCTACGTGTCAGTGTTGCCATTTTGAATAATTGGCACTGAAAAAAAACCTGTGCTATTTTACCTCGTACACTGTATTAGTCGAGAGCCCTGCAGAACGCCTTCGAATTATTCCGCAGAGAAAAAGACGAATATGCAAAAGCAAATTTTGTTTTTTGCAAGGAAGAGAAGTTTATGCAGGAAATTGTTTAATGTATTACTCAAGTACCTGATGCGCCCTTTTTTCTCAGAAAATTTTGAGCCAAAAAGCAATGGGAAACAATGTACTGTACTTGAGTTGAAGTTCTTCTGAAAATTCGTAGCATTTTTAAGAGCATCATACTATAGGCTTACATTAGAGATGAAAAATAAAACAAATAAGGTACAGAATTTAAAATTGATTTCTCCTTATACAGTTGGTTGATTTTTCATTGTACAATTGATTTATCCTCATACAGTTCACTATATACTCAAGTAACTGATGCATGAATTTTTTCTCAAAATATGTGTTTCAAAAAGCAGATAGGGAACAATACAAGTACTGTATACTGTACTTGAGTTATTTAACTTTATCCAGCATTTTCAGTCATTTTTTTGAAGCATCATACTTGGATTATATTAAAAATGAAAAATAAAACATAAGCAAAGTGAGATTTATTTCTCTTTCCACAGTTGGACCTTTTGCAAAGTCTAACCTCTTTAACCTGATTTTCCAGTTAATTCTTGGACAATTTCCTCAAGACCAATGAGATGTAAGCCTTCCTAACTCCAAATTGTTGGGTCACACCTCTCTGTAAGTCAAAGTTCAAAGCATTTTTGTTAAATTCATTAAATTAGGGTTCAAGTGAGTTTATTCCTGCAAACAAAATTTTGGACTCTGGCTACTCAGCTTAGATAAAGTTGTTCGCTTATCTTTGGAAAAATGAAAGTGAAAAAGGATGCAAAATTATCTTGACATCTCCATGTCATGGATGCAGAATGATCTTCTGTTGTCCAAGGCTTTAGCCTGAAAAGGCAGTGGGTTACTGCATTACCTACTGAAGAAATGATTAAGCATGTATTTGGAGAAATAACCAGCTGAAGTCTTAAAGCCATAGGGAAGGCACTACAGAAATATTCTCTGAGTGAATATTGACCAATTTTTTTGACAGTGGGGTGACTTACAACAGCAAGTACAGTACTGCATTTCAACCAGAAATGAGCCTGGCATTTAATTTTTATTTAAACCCAAACACAGCATTGCCAAAAAAAGGTCTTGAAGGAAGTCACAAAATAGCCCCTGAATTTTCTGTGTGCCTCTGTATTTTTTTTAATCTGTTATTAGGTACCACTAAATTTTGTCTAACCTACCAAACACAGACACAGCTCCACACACAGACAAATTGAAAATCTCAACCAAAATCTTACTGTCTAGATAACCATGAAAGAAACCAGCTACAAAACCAGACACAAAAACAGGTCCTTCCAGAGGAAACTCAGCATCTGCCAAAACCAAAGAAAAAGACTATGCTTTGACTTGAGCTTCAAGAGTGTTGAAATCTTGAAACTTCATTCCTGAAAGTGAAATTCAATTTTTATCAACTTGTGATTGTCAGTGAGCTGTTTGTAGAGACTTGGTCTTGGCCACAAATGGTCTATTGTGCATTCCTTTAATTTCTTTGTCTGGATTTGATTATCCCTGTCACAAAAATAAATGCTAGAGTATAATTTGTTACGCTGAATAATGAACTGAAGAATTCAAATTCTCAGAAAAACTTGTCTTTTTACATCTTTGTGTGAACAGGGAAAGACCTTGGTTGAAACACCCATTTTTCCTGAAAGTCTCCAAGGCTTTTTTTTATCACCAAATCCTAATACTGTTATTTGTACTTGAAGGACAGTTTTCCTGCTTTCCTACTTCATCTCAAAAACACACACTCTTATCAGAGCTCTCATAAAAGACACTTCAGCATTTTTGTGAATACTGTATTGTGTGTATTAACGGTGTTCTCAAAGTACAACAACCTTAAAATAGGATGAAATTTCCCCCGGGTCATAGCCTGACCAAATTCTTCCTGACATTTATTTCTAAAACATATTCTATTTAAATTTTACTAAATCATTCCTAACAATCCCCAAAATCTGTGTCAGGTTCATTCAAGTTATCCATTTACTTGAAGTATAATCTAAGCTGCTCAATTGCAGGTTAATACCAAACCCTGTCATTCCTCAAGTTTTTGTCACCCTGGATTAAGTGGCAAATTCAGATTCGGAGAATGCGGGTTTTCAAAGCGGTTTACAATTTGAAATTTACAACTTCAATGAATTTTATGGGGGGGGGGGCATGACAATAACTGGATGTATTAGCAGGTCGGTCAAGTTCGGTATGGCACGGTTGCCACTTGGCAACACTTTACCTGTTCTTGTCCGTGTCTGAGTGGAGTGTGTGTGTATGTGTGTGTCTGAGTGTGTGTGTATGTGTGTGTGTATATGAGAGAACCAAGTTTCAACGCCCGGCCAAAAAACCCCCCGTCGCGCGCGCCGCCCAAATGCCTCAGGAACCCCGAAACCCGGCAATTTCCCCGCAATCGGCCAAATTGTTTCCCTCTGCGACGATGTACCCGAAATTCTACAAAGGGTCAGTCAGAAAATTCTCTAAAAAGTGTTTCCCAGTTCTATTCCGTCAATTCAAGTTTTTTTAAAGGAGTGAATAAGGTGCGGAAATAACGAGAGTGAAGGTGGATTATTTATTTTGCCATCCGCTCAGCTCTGTGCTTTTTCATGATTCGCTCTTTTCAGTGAATGCGTTATTTTGCGAAGGGTGGATGGAAAGTTACTTGAACTTTGAATCAAAATCTCCTGAAGATGGATCAAATTGTTTTACGAAGCATAATGCGCGTCTTCCTGCAACCTCCTAAAAGAAAGATAGAATTGCCACTTCATTCAATATCTTTTTGCTCTCATTTTATTTTGAAAAAGCTTTCTTGTATTGTAGTTTTTTTCTTATACACAATGAATCTTGTTTCAAAGCATTATTATTTAAATTGAATTCCTTCTTAAAGCCTTGAAAGAAAGCCAAAACATTCTTTCATGCCAATGTCAGGGAAGGAATGGGTGTATGCATACATGTCAGATGTCCAGTTGTATTTCATGTTGTATTGTATTTTCTTTTATTTTTGTTATCAATACTGACCCTTTGTAGAATTTCGGGTACATCGTCGCAGAGGGAAACAATTTGGCCGATTGCGGGGAAATTGCCGGGTTTCGGGGTTCCTGAGGCATTTGGGCGGCGCGCGCGACGGGGGGGTTTGGTTGTGGAAATCTTGAGTGAACCTTGTGAATTCTGAAAAGCAGCAAATAAAGTGTTCCGTTCATTCATTCATTTATTCTTTTGAGTCCATTAGATTTTTTTCCATAAACAGGGATTTTCAAAGGTCAAAATGGCTTTTTTGGAATATGATATCCTGCTAGTGTAATTGACTTTGACTTTGACAAAAATCTTTGAAACGTTTTCATGATTGACTGCCATCCATGAAGCATATAAAGGATGGATGTGTGCACACATTTTCCACTATGTTGAATAAATCAAATTTTGTGAATATTGATTTGTCTACAATGATTTTCTATGTATAACAAATTTTTATTTTGTCCCATATATAGGGCATAGGCGGGTTCCCTCCCCATGTTATATATATATATATATTTATATTTATATTTATATGTGTTCTCTTCACCAAAATTCTCTCTACAACAAATTTATTTCTGGTCCCTTGTATTTAATTGTATACAGAGAGTCCACTTTTAATGTTTTCTTCTTTTTCACGTGATGCCTTAGGTTCTGGTGGACAAATTTGTAACAGCAAAAAGATATTAATTAATTTGTGAATATTTTGAGAATACCCACATGGATCCACTATATATTTTTTTCAAGTGGCTTTTTCCTCAAATCCCACCCCAGAATGATGAATTATTTACTTTGTCCCATATATAGGACATAGGGTCCCCTCCCCATGTTATGTATATGGGGAGGGGGTTTGGATGTGGAAATCTTGATTGAACCTTGTGAATGCTGAAAAGCGGCAAATAAAGTGTTCTGTTCATTCATTCATTCATTCATTCATATATATGGATTCTCTTTACCAAAATTTTCTCTACAACAAATTTATTTTTGATCCCTTGTATTTAATTATATACAGAGTAAACGTGTATTTTTTTCTTTTTCCCATGATGCCCCAGGTTTTGGTGGGGAAAAAACGTGTGAATGAATTTGTGAAAACTTTGAGAATGCCCACATGCATCCTCTATTTATTTTTTTTTTCGACTGGCTTTTTCCTCAAATCCCACCCCGGAATGATGAATTATCTCGGGGGGCACTCGTTAATCCTGCGCGATGATGGCTGGTGCGACGCGAGGCTTAATTACTACACGCATCAACTTGGTGGGAGGGGAGATGAGGAGAACTGGTGAAAAAATAATAATAATAAATGAATAAATCCCTGAGCCAGATCATACATCAAACATTCCTCAACAGGGTTCTCCTCCACCTTCCTCTTCATCATAAAAATCCAAGAAAAACCCCCATATCCTCACCCTGATTCATGTTTGGAGGAAGGAAGACCAGAGCGAGGGGGGTGTGTTGGCTCATCCGTCAAGAAGAACTTTCTTCACTTTGTTGTGGAAATGTATATGCATGGAGTTTTTGCTTATAAATTGGAAAACGGGGGATTTTTTGGGATAAGATGATGTGCCAACGGATTTTTGATTTGCATTTTCTTGGTGTGATTGAGGCTTGGATGGATAAGCTTGAATTTGGTAGATGGTGTGGGCAGATTTTTGTGGTGATGAAGAATTTGATTGGAGGGAATAAATGGTATAAAAACATGTTTTTTGTGATGATTCTGAATTTAGTTGATCTCAAGGAATTACTACTGAAAAAATGTTTTCAAAGTCAAATTTCAAGGGATCAGTGAAAAAAATTGACTCAGAAAGGCTTTGACTTAGGGAGGGTCTGAGTTTTGGAGGTTTTGAGTTAGGGAAACAAGTATTTTTGTTGTGGAACACATTAAAGAATTACAGGAAATTGTAAATGGTGACATTCTGAGGCTAGTTAAATTGCTTCTTAAATGAGTTGACAAGATTCTGCACTTGCAGGCATGATGGGTTCATTTGCCAAATTTGTCTTTCACTTCCTTTCTAGACACATCAAGTAACTTTTTTTTTGCTTTTCTCTTTTTGTGTCAAGAAAAGAATATAGCCAAATGCTTCAGAAAATTTGACTTACACCAGTTTGAGAGTTAAAGACTTTGAGTTGAAGAGATTCTTAATGCATTGTTTTTCTAGGTAATTCAGGCAGGGACTTGAAAATTTTGACTTAGGGTGGTAATTGACTTATTGGGGTTTGAGTTATCAAGATTCAACTGTACATATATTTTACAGTACTTTCCCAAGTTCTGTGAAAGCTGTAAAAAATGTGATTTGCCTTGAAGATACATTTGGCAGAAAAAATGAAGACCCCATGAGTTATTCATGGATTTCAAGTTAATATAGTGTAAGACATCTATGAATAATGAACAATGCTAAACTTTTTGGCCAGAAAATAACTTCACATCATTAAACTTCCTAAAAAAGCCAGATTTCCCAACTCAAGATGTATCAAAGTCAAATTGGTTTCTTTCCTTAGCATTTGACATAGACAGGTTCAATTACATAGAATGCTCTTGTAGATCATCAAACCTCTCTTATACAGTCAATACAACAGAGCTCCTACACAATGGATTTTTGCATAACAGACCATCACCTCTGGTGGCAGTTTTGCCTCATATGCAATTGACCATACATCCTCATAACAGACTTCTGTTTGTTTAAAATTATTGGTAAAAAAGTAAATATTTCAATTTTCTAATAATTGAATTTGCATAACAGATGTTTCATGAATGAATGAATGAACAGAAAACTTTATTTGCTGCTTTTCAGCGTTCACAAGACATAACCAGAACCCCTGCATCCAAACCCCCCTCCCCACCCAACCCAACTCCCCCAAATACATTCAATCATTTCAAATCATGAAACAAAGCACAAATGAATGACAAAAATAAAAGAGAACACACTCCACAAAATAAAACTGGACATCCTACAAGTATGTTGCATACACCTACCCATCCCCAATATTGAAGACAAAGCAGCAGTAAAAATTTATTTAAAGCACAAGGTCTTCAGCTTGTTTCTGTATGAGTTTTAGTTCAATGAACAATTATCCTACAAGTATGTTGCATACACCCACCCATCCCCAATATTGAAGACAAAGCAGCAGTAAAAGTTTATTTAAAGCACAAGGTCTTCAGCCTGTTTCTGTATGAGTTTTAGTTCAATGAAGTCCTTACTTTAGGTGTGAGGAGATGCAGAAGCCCTGAGGCAGCTCCCCTCAAAGTCACAGCACGTATGAAGAATATGGCCAAGACCACATAAGGGAAAACTGCAGTGATGTATAGCACCTGTAAAAGAAAAATCCAGATTCACTTATGCATGAAGCTCACAACCTCTTTAAAGAATATGAGAGAGAAAAAAACATGTGCTTGCTGCATTTTACACTGAGACAGTTGTTGAACTAATTTGCTGCCATTATTTGGCAAGACATTCATGCAAAAAGTGGTACAGGGAGTAAACCACTCTGAGATTAATAGAAAAAACTGCATGGTAAATTAAAAAACCTTTGTTCATTTATATAATTCTACACTTGATAACTCACACTTCCATCCATCAACCAAGACCTTATTTTTTTCAACATGATGAATAATAATAATAATAACAATAAACATGCAGCACAATAAACCTTTCCAGATGACTGGATCCCTTTGCGCATGGTGAGGAAGACAATGAGCCAGGCCAGCAGGAGACAAACAAACATGTGCCAATTGATGCCCTCAAAGTCTCCAATGGACTCTGAAGAGTTCAGGGCTTCCCTGTACCAAAAATATTGGGTCTCTGAGCTTTTGGCACACTCCTCCACCCTGGTCTCATTCACCACTGGACACTCTGCCCATGGCAACTGGGTCTGCAATAAATACACCAAGAAAAGAAGAAAAAAAAAACACAAACATACAAGATAAATACTTTGCCATCATTCAATCACGTGCCAACTATTCGGAAACCAATGTACTTCCGAGACCTATTTTTATCATCACCTCTGCGCAAAAAATAAAAAAAATCAACGAGAGAAACTCGATATTACGCCTGTTCCGCGGGCAAGAAACCCACTCATCACCAGTGTTGGCACAGAGAGAACAGGATTAATGACCACACAACCATGTGATCCTCTCATGACAGTATGTATACATAGATATACAGTATATACTTGAACAGCAGGGAGAAAAAGGTGCCAAATATTGGCATAAAACATCCATCAAAAGCTGGTGATGAGACAAAGAGGGTGAAGGGTTTATTCCTGGCTCACAAGAGACCTTGAAAAAACCCCCTTTTCATCAATGTATATACTGAACTTGAGCACTTTTTTTTTGGCACAAACCATACAGAATGGTTCATCTTCTTCAGATGCAAGACTTCATATATATACATATGCTAAAGTTAATCATGTCAATACACTTGATTAAAATATAAATATATGGTGTTTTTGCACTTGAAGACATTGGTTCACAATTCCAGTTCTGTACAGCAAAGAATTGCCAAAATTGAAGGACATGGAAAAAATTGATGAACTTCTTCACCTTTTTTATTTTTTACATTGAGGGTAATATGAACTGCTGTGGACTTAAGAAAAACGTTTTTCTTATTCGAATTTCCAATGGATCCCTGGCAAATATTCTCAAAACCCAATTCTTTTCATGCCTTAGAACATCCCTTGAGCCAAATTGTCAAAGGTCTTTGGAATGCTATAAATGTGAAATTAAATTTTTTAACACCTGTTATTTCAGATTCAAATTATTCCCTCAAGGAATTATCTAGGTACAGTACAACATCTCTGAAAATGAAGCAGTTTTAATAATATTAGGCCAGGAAACCATTTCTTCTTGGCTAAAATATACAGCTCAGTACATGAATCAGACCAAAAGTCAAAAACTTAGAGACAAAATCAGCAATCCATCAACATGTTTCATATTTTAAGGCAACTTTTCAAGAGAAGTGGTTCACAATTGCAGTTCTTTGAAGCAAGAAATGCAGAGAAAATGGTTGCAAATTTAGCTTCTTCTGACTTGAATAATAGAAAACAATTTTGTCACAGCTCATTTGAACTTGATGAAATATGGTATGGTAATAAAAAAACACACACACACACATTTCCTCCAATTTTCTCTCAAATGCTGGAGGAATTGAATAAAAAAGAAAACCAACAAAAAAACAAAGCAGGAAATTCTTGGAAGGAATTCCTCAGTGAGACGCTTCCAGACTGTGGGACCAAGACTGTGACACACTCAGGAATGCCTCGGATTCATATACGTGTCCCAGATCAAAACAAATCATCCCATTCCCACAAAAGTCCTCATCATCATCAGTGTGTGTGTGTGTGTGTGTGTGTGTGTAACTCCACAAATAATTATTCCTTCATCAAAATTCACAACAACAACAAAAAACCTGACCCAATTTATTTTTGGAAAAAGTTTCGCATCAGTATATAGGGAATGAAACTGCGCAGAAACTTTGTGGAAACGCCCCCTTTTCAGTGCTGTCACACACACAGGAACAGGAAGACTGTATATTAGACACAGAAAAGCAGGAAGTCTGGAATCTGTGCCAGGTTCTGTCCCATTTCTTCTTCCTATATAATTCCTCAGCATGCACTATTACAGGAATGCAAAAATTTTGCACACATTTTTTTTTTCCTGGAAATAATTCAGTCCATCAGAAGGAGGCCTGAATAAGAGTGAGAAAGAGTTTCCTTCACATTCCAGTTGTCGCTTCCAAAACCCCATGTTGTGCAGAAGATAGATGCTGAGCAAATAGTCCAAGTTTTTTTGAGTCCAATATAGACACTATACAAACAATGACTGGATGACGTGGTTTGCTCAACAAAGAAACATCATACACACACACACACAAACACTGAAGGCAGCAGGAATAAATCAAGAGGATAAAAAAAAACTTGTCCTTACTATTAACTTTCTTGGGCACTCATCCAAAATAACTTCACTTTACTTATATAATAAATGCTAAAAAAAAAGTAAGAAAGAAAGAAAGGAAAACCCTTCATTGAATAGCGTGGGAGCTAAACCTGGTTCATGTGTGACCCAGAAAAAAGAGAAAACAGAGCCCCTGTTTTCTTCCTGCCAACCCAATATCTATCCCTCCTCTGGAGACATCTCAAGTCACCCTCTCTGGAACATTTCCAAGGCACAGGAGTGCCTCTAGTACAACAGAGAGGGTGGCACAACTTACACTCCAGGTGCTTCTGCTGCTGCTGCTGCTACTACTACAGTAGAGTATACTACTATACTGTATACATATACAAGGAGGCACAAAATAAAGAGAGAGAGAGAGAGAGGGTATCAATACTATCCCATATTTCATTTCAGGTAAAAGAAACAAATGACCAGCAGAACCAACTGTTTAGGCAGTCAGTCTCAGATTCTTTAACAATCCATTTCAAGATTTGAATACTGTATGCATAATCACCCAAAGATGAATCCTAAATTCTTGAGCCTTAAAATTATACAGGGTGTAAAAAAAGGTTTATATTTTCCAAAAAAAGCAGGTCAACAGTGATTGAAAATTACTGTACTGTACTTCAAAAAACTCAAACTCCCATACCCAAAATTTGACAGGCAAATCCTAATAACCAAAAAAATTTCTGAATGATGCTCAATAAGGAGAAATAAATACACAAATCCCCCAAGAGAGGATCCTCATCTGCAATAATTTTATAGGGTGTAAAAAAGACACCCTCTAACATTATAAAACATTCAACTGTGAATAAGTCAGGTCTCCTCACATTAGAGAAAAATATGAAGTAATATGATTCCTTGTGAAAAAATTGTTTTCTGGCCTCAAAAGAAACCCACTTTGATTTTTTTTTACAAAAGTTCATTCAGGCAAAGCAAAGATAAAAAGTGACCATAGCCAACGGATAACTCAGGCAGATTTCTCACATTTCTTGAAAACACATAATTTTGAAAACTTCTCACAAGATTGAAATACTGTATGCATTACTGCTGCACCAACACAAATCATATGCAGAGTACTAAAAGTCCACAGGGATTCCAAAAAGTTAGTCAACTTGGATTGAAAGCTACCTCAATTTCCTCTCCCCAAAAATTGAAAAGGCAATTTGCAAAAACCTTTAAAAATCTAAATAAACCTCAATAAAAAAAAAGAATGCCGCTAAAATATGATCCTCACCAATAATAATTTTACATGGTGTCCAAAAAAGGAACTCTGACACTAGAAAAAATTCAAATGTAAATATTCCAAATCCCCTCAAAATAAAGACACAAATAAAAAAAAATCAAAATGGTTTCCAAGAAAAAACCTCCGGAGCATTGGAAAATTCCCAATAATTCAACTATGAATACAAGACAACCCAAGCATTGAAAGATAACGTTAAAAAAATACCTCCACAGGTCCTGCATACAGAAGTTGAAAGCACCTTTTATAAAAAAAAATAATAAAAGCATTCCTTCAATCAATTGATTCATCAAAGTCACCTGTCTATATACAACTTGAAAGAAGCGCCTCTTTTCCATCAGAAAAAAATAACCCCTCAACACAAAGAAGAAGAAAAAAAAAAGATTCCAACAAGAATTCCTGGAAGCACCAAAAATATGAAACTATTCAAGCCTCTTTCAGTGACAATAACTGCCACAAGAAATACAAAAAAATACAATGAAATTTAAATAGTAAAAATTTTCCAAATAAAGAACTATTGAAGCCTTTTTTTCAGCAGTGCCAATAACTGCCACCAGAAATTCCAAAAAAAAAGAAGGGGATAATTTCAAGATTTTTCCAAAGTAAAAGCAAAGTTCTCACAGTGAAGGATCTGAAGAGATAGTAAAGGCACCAGGTGATGACCACGTTGTAGTAGAGGCCAACAAGGAAAGAAACTGCTGTGGATGCCACACCAAGTCCTCCTAGTCCAGGATGGATCCCTTTCCACACACCAATGGATCCCCTGCCAAATCTTTGTCCCAGACCGATTTCAATGAGTGATAAAGGCATTCCTTCCACCACCAACAGGATCACATAAGGAATCAAAAAAGCACCTGCAAAACAGATTTTCAAGGCATGCAATGACATTTATTTTAAAAACTTGTAATTGGGTTGAATGAAGTGCAAGTTATTCAAAACACCATCTTTTAATTATCCTTTTCCTTCTTTTGTCCACATTAAGGCCAATATTCAAAATGAGTTCCAAGGTTAATGAAGTCTTTATAGTAATATGTGAAAACAAAGCATAATTGAACGAACATGAGTTCATTAAATTTTTGTGAGCTTCCCAACAACAAAGAAAATATCAAAATTGTATTTGTTAGTAAAACAATCAGACTGGGAAAAAATGAAAAATAATTTGCTCAATTTTCTAAGGAATTATCAACATAAAGAGAGGTAAATAAATTGGATCTTTACAAAAGAACTTGAATCCTAGTTTTATTTTATTATATTTATTCTTAGAAGCAATCCTTCATCAGTTTTGAATTTCTTGAAAAGTAGCTGAATTTTTTCTGAATGCTGTACTCCAGAGCTTCTTGCATTGAAACAGATTTTTTTTAAACTGCATCGATTATTTAAAAAAAACGTTTGCATAATGTAAAAACGAATCACAGCCTTATTTTCTCCTCAAGGGCATGATTCAAAAATAACTCCATCTCTTGATAGGATTATTTATCCACAAAAAGGCTCTTCTTTTCATGGGAAAAAAGCCCCGGCTATTTTTATTGTTTTCTTTGACATGAATAATTTTATTTAAGTACTAGTTTGCAGAAAGTATTCATCTCCAGAGGGCAAATCCTTATTTAATTCAGTTGAAATGAAGTAAAAAAAATTTAATTTCCAATCGAATCCCTTGGGAACGCAAATTTGAAAGACCTTCCCTTCTAAAATGAATGGAGTAAAGCATTCAAGACACACCTTTCAACAAAATCGATTTGCATTCTTACAAAGAATGAAAGACGTCAAGCAATTGAGATGGTAAATAGTGAACCCGGGTAAAGATGGCGGAAACCCATTAAAATCTCAATGCCTAAGAATTTAATTCTCGAAATAAAAAATAAATAAATGAGAATGAGAAGCAGTGGAGTTTTCAGAAGGTTATCGGACGAATAAAAAAAATAATCCTCATTCTTCAGATAACAACTGAATTTTGAATCCTCCGAAATTTTCCAGCAGTGATGAAATTAAAAACTCATTAAAATTCCTCATTAGAAAAAACAACATAAAAACTGCCTTCCTGAGAAACATTGGGATACGATTTAAAATATTTGAGTCACTTCGCTTCCAACAGAGCTGAAAAATGCAGAAAAAATTTATATTCAAATGTATAAATTATATTTTGACCGTTACAATTTCCACAGAAAAAACCCAGCATGAACAATAATATCTTTAAAATTACCAGTTTATATACTGATACTTATTTCAATTGTCTTTTGAATTTGGATTCATTATTGAAATTTTCCAATAAAAAATATTTGGAAACTTGAACATTTTTCTGAAGTTGCTGGTGGCAAAATTTTCATCACACAAGTTATACGTTGAAATTTATTTTTTATCTCTATTTCAGATGGAAATATTGTAAATCAGATTTTGGTTTATTTGAACTTTATGAACTAGTACTAGACTAAAAACTGCAAAATTGGTCATGCTTCTTGGCAACCACTTTCCAAGAGCAGCTTTCTTACTTGAAAAAGAAACTTTACAAGATCCATGCCAGTGATTTAATTTCAACCCCTAAGTCTCAATAATTTTTTTTTCTTGGGGTAATTTCTAAGTGATTATATTCTGTTCTGGCAGTTGAAAAAAAATCATTTTTAAACCAGGAGGAGATTATGATGGAAAATGTGGAAACAAACAGGCATTTTCATCAACAAAAATAATCAATAAAGAAAAAACTTCTTGAAACCCCCTCCTTGTTTCATTCAAATGAAGTGTATTCCCTGAAGAATTCTTTTAAAACAAAGTGCTTCCAAGTGGAAATAAAAAAAAGAACCCCTCAGGCAGTTCTTCAACTCTGGCCTTCAAATAATAAAAAAACCTTCCCTCTCATTTGCAAATCTGAAAACAAATTTTCAAAAACCGGTCAACAGAACTGAACCCGTTTTCCGGAGAAAAACAAAACCGTTTTGTTTCAGTTCTCACCTTTTTTTTGCTTATTAAACTCGAAGACCTTTTTTTTCTCGGTTATGTTTTCCGCCTAGACTTGGGCCTACCTTTTGTTCCGTAAGTTTCATACATTAGATGGCATAAAGAGCTCTTTAGGTAAATTTTTCTCTCCATCAAAAAGCTTTCATCTGGCATTCAACAGGGCATGAAATATTCATCGAATATCAACATCCCTTTGTTTATATATTCACTGTACTGTACATGGAAATGATGGGACAGCAGCAGACGAACGGAATTCATGAAACATGTTTTATATACTGTATATTAGAAAATACCGAGAATCTACTAAATTATATGCAACGGATGGATGAGAACATTGCATCAAAACAGTTTCACCTTCAAAATGTCAAGTATTTTACAATGTCAATAGAACAATGTCCTTCGTGATTTCGGAAATTCAGTTGGAAAATTCGAATGAATTTCCCGTCAGCCATTTAAAGCTTTATAGTTTTCTTCTTCTAATTGAAAATGATTTGTTTCACATTTTCAAAGCCTTGGAAATTCAAGAAAAATCTGACCTTGCTGTTGGAAACATACAGTATTTTCATGAATTGTGACCTTGCCCTTCTTTCAAAGCGTATTTTAAACTTTATTTTTCAAATTTGAATTACTGTACTTTGAAAAAGTAATCTTTCATTCGCCGGTAACTCAATTTCTCAATATTGTATATGTTACCGCATTTGCTCAAGGCAACCGTCTTATGAAGAATTAAGCTTTTCATGTTGTTAAAGAGGGTTTCTTTCCTACTTTCCAGATTATTGTGCTCCATTTTTTTTAATTGTTCCAAAACACTGAATTTCACAGAGTATTTTATTATCCAAATTCTGAATTTCTTCAACCCCTTGTTCATCAATATTTTACAAGGAGAAATGTCTCAAAATGTCTTGGTTATACTGTACTGTATCTTCTTTCAATTTTTGAAAATAATGTTAAACTTCATGATATCTCAACTCAAGTTTGATCTACTAAAATGTAATTTTGAAATTTTCCCATTTACGTAAAATTCATTCAAAAGTACATCTTTACACAAGGTTAAATTTTTGAGATTTTGATCATTATTCTTCTTAATCTGTTATTGGTAGATTTTTCCAATAATTATGTGCTACAAATTATGTTCATAAAGAGAGTATCAAAACAATAATAATTCTCCACACAGGATAACAGAGAGAAAGATAAAAAAGGATGATGATTAACTTATATAAACTGTATATCTATATAAGTAAAATCTTGTTGCAACAAACTCCCAGGGACCTGGCATAAAATTCGTTACAATGAAAAATTCGTTGTATTGAGTTTCATGGTTAAGCTTAAAATTTTGTGGAAAATTGGCAGTAAATACAATAATGTGCTTCAAAGAGAGATAATTCAAAGCCTATCACAAGTGCTGAGTATTTTTATAGTGAAATCAAGAGAAAACTTTTGAAATAAATGGTATATTTTGTTTTCATTAAACCTATTGATTTTTTACTGTCCTGTTTGCGTTTTTGACCATGTAGTATTTGTCATTTGCATTACAAGCAAACCGTTTGCACACGTGCTTGATTAAAATAAGCTCTTAAGCTTGCTTTTTGTTGGAAACTGTAAAATTCCCCTCTGTGCTGTGAATAAACTTGTGGATAGCAAATTCTTGGGAGTTTGTTGTATTCTCCACACTAGTCAGTTTCTACAGAAAGTGAGCAGCAACTTTGTGTGGGTCTTGCCCATACCACATCATAACTGATGTCCCTATAGTCCTCCGGTCGGAACTACTTGACCTGACCACTTCCACAATCATCCATACTACTCAGGTGCCCACTCAATGACCTAGCTGAGGGCACCCACCTCTAAAATTCAGAGTTTCAAGACCTTAGCTTACAATTGCTTGTAGCCACTCATTCTAGGCACAACAATTAAACTGCCTTTGAACTGAAGTAATGTATTGCTTGTCTTGAAAAAGAACCCTGAACAAAATTGCACATGTGGTAGAAACACTGTACACAGTACTGTACTTTCTTCTGAATTAACTTGTTCTATCATATAGCTATCTGGTCTCTTTCAAATCAACTTTTCTCGGCGCTTCGTTTAAACATCAATCATGCAAAAATTAACCATGTACTTGTGCAGTTTTTTTTTTTTAAATATAAATAACTGCACGTTGAAGATGAAACACTCACCGCCGCCGTTTCGTTGGCACAAGTAAGGGAACCGCCACACGTTGCCCAAGCCGACCGCCATGGAAATCATGCCGGCCAAAAACTCGGCGTGATTCGCAAAGGCGGACCTCCCGTCATCCTTGCCACCAGATGTCACTACTACACCTTCCACATCCTCGTCCAGCACCGCGGAACCAGACGAGGACGAGGACGAAGAGTTCTTCCGGTCCAATTCCCAATTCCCGCCTGGTGTCGTCGATGTTGTTGTTGTTGTTGTTGTTGTTGTTTTCGGGTCTGGATGTTGTTGTTGTTGTTGATGAGAAATCATTGTTGACAGGGATGCCGAGGATGTTCCCCCAACTTCTGTGAGTTCCGTGTCGCATCGGGTTCGCGGAGACGGCACTTGTAACAACTGCGGCGCCTTTTTCGGCGAAGTAGTCATCGTTCACAATGTTTCTGCTGCTGCTGCTGCTGCTGGCTTTTGTGTCCACTTTTCGAATAATTGATTCGATTCAATTCAATGAAAGATCGTTTTTTGTTTTGTTTCCCTCCTCCGAGGTTTCTTTCCTTTTAGTCTTTTTTTTTTTTTCAAGGGACACTCCCAAGTTCTTCTGAAAGACACTCTCCGGACGAAAGACCTGTAAAAAGAAAAAAAATTATAAAAATCAGGGTTCTTGAGAATTACTATATACAGTCAACCCCCGTCTAACAGACTTGATTTGTGCAAGGGACGACGAGTCTGTTAGACAAAAAGTCCTTTACACGAATTCAATTACATAAAAAATTAAAAATTTCAATTTTCAACACTAATTTTAAACCAAAAGACGTCTGTTTGGCGGATTTTGTCTGTTGGGCGGGAGGAAAAACTGCTTGCAGAGCTGGTCTGTTTGGCGAAAATCCCTTACACGGGAGGTCTGTTAGGCGGGGGGCCACTGTATATATATATATATATAAGTAGCTATTGACATATTCACATTTCTTTTTCATTCCATCACCAGAAAAAGTACCGGAAGAAAATTCCCTCATATAGATATATTGTATTTGTAACTGACTAATTGATTCATTTCTGATTTTTTAGAACATAATTTGATGAGGTTTCCACAATAGGGCATCCTTTATTTCAAATTACTGCATATATTCACCTCGAATACTTAGAGAATTCAAAAATAGACCAAGATTAAAAATAAAGCAGTGTGATACAATTCCTGAAAATGAACTGGTGTTTTAAAAATACTGCAAAAAAGGTAATTTGGAGTGTCATATTTCAGTGCAGATATAAGAAAGAACAATTGAACAGCAGCTCATGCCAATGAGTCCAAATACACAATATAACCTTTCAAGCTACTGTAGAAAGAATTAATGCACACAGAGAGAAACATGAATTTTATGTAAGCATATTGAACCAGGAATTAATCAATTCCAACTGAAAAATACAGCACTGACAGCCAGTGACATCTACCCACACTACAACACTCTGTCATCACAAGAGACAAAATTCATTATGTGATTCACAGAGTTTTTCAATGCACAAAACCTATATGTAAATCTATTGGTCCATGTTGAACATCATCATTAAAACTACAATCCTGAAAAATGAATAAACTGGCTTGCATGCAAATAAAATGAAAAAAAGACTAAAAGTTGCACAAATTGCTGGGATGAAAAGATTCAATTTCCTCAAAGGAAAAAACCAAGAACCAACATTTCCTCTGGTAAACTTTCCAGGGCCAAGTACCTCACAGAAGCATTTACATCCAGTTTACAGGATTACTTCTTATATAGCAACTGAAAAAGCAGAAGGAAAAGCAAAAAATAATAATTTGAACAATAACCAGTACTTGACCTGACCAATGATGAACAATGATTTGACTGTTTCCATGCAAGACTATTTTCTTCAATCGCTGAAAATCAAATACAATAAAACCAATTTGAAATCTCATCTTTCTGCATGGATATTGAAAATTTCTTCTAAAAAAAAAATCCGCAACAAATAAAATGAAATTCAGATTAAATTCCCCAAAAATTAAAAAAAAAATTCTAGTTGCTTTCGACATCCAACACACCTTCAAAAAGAAGAACTTCTTTACTTTATTCACATGGAATTAAAAATTGTTTCAGCATATTCCAGCTCCTTTAAATTTCTTTGGAAAGGTTTTCTTCAATAAAAATTCAACAAATGTTCACACACACAAAAAATTCTTTCAAGATTAATGACCAAAAAAAATTTGAAGAAAATTGATTTCCTCATGGAAAAATCCAATGTTGAGTATATAAAGTGAGTAGGAATGAAGTTACAGTATTTCTTTGCTCCTCCGGAATATCTTTTACCCACAAAAAACCCCCCATTCTGGGTTTATTGCACAAAAAAAAAAAGTAACGAGACTTCAGTACTATACCCCCCTTGAACAAGGGGTCGGTCACTCACCCCGCCGGCAAAGTGACCTCGTATATTGTACAGACATTCCACTCCCCTTCCAAAAATGGGGTTTCATAAATCATGAAAGTGTGTCATCAGGAGAAAATCATGCAGTACAATAAAAAAAAAAAATCTCAGCACTCCTCACAAATTCAGCACTCAGATGCGATTGGAATTTGAGCGATGACGTATTTTTTCTTTCCATGATTTGCGATATTCTTTTTATATTCGTGACTTCGCAGAACGAAAAAAAAAAGTACTGTCGATCATTCAATGAAAAACGTCAGCAGAAAAAAACTTGGATCAGGAAAATGTGCATCGAATTACTAAATTGTGCTCAAAAACGTAATGTGTACACATTAAATAAAAATGAATTAAAAATTACACGGTGAACTCATTTCTTTCCTGATCCATTTGGCATCTGAATAAAACACTTCAGGCATGACCAATAAGAAATGAAACATTTTATGGATATGAAATAAATCAAGAAGTAATGGGGGAATCCCCCGGTTGGTAACTCTTGATGATTGGAACTGTTTCACTTCCTATGTAGGAAATAATACAGCTGCTTGATCAATGCTCAAGTACAGTACATCCAGAAAATCATACTGTGGTTTTTGCACACCACGTTATTTCTGCCAATAAAATTCGCTCAAAGTATCATCAGAAACCTGTATATAGAGGGATAATAATTGTTCCCATAATGATTAAATTTTGGAGAAAAACGTTCACCTGGAACATGAATATACAGTACAGTACAATAAAATCAAAATTCACTCAATATTCATTTTTATTTTGAAGCACCTGTTGGGAAAGTTACTTCTGAAAAATACCACCCTGATTCAGAAATCCAGTAATTAAAAAGAAAAGAGACCATCATATTACAATTTCACAAAGAAAATAATCAAGTTGACACTTACTGATATCAACACAATCAAGAGCACTTTTCCACTTTCACTAAAGGGTTTTCCCTCTAAAAGCCTATGAAAAAAAAAATGTGACAAAAGGAACTTGAGGGAACCTTCTTCCCAAATAAGCTACATTAACACATGAGTCATCATTCTCAATTTCTTTACAAATTTTATTTTCAGGGGAAAAAGATGATGCAAGAGTATAAATGCAGTACTGTACTTATTCATCCAAGTCCTTATTCTTTTTCAGCACACTGTATATATTGGTAATCACTCCATGTATGATTCTGCGGATGATGATGTCAAGAATATTTGCAAAAAAAAAGAGGAACGTTACACTGCATATATATATAAAAGGTGTACACGAAACCCTCAGCAAGAAAAAAAAGGCTCTTATTTGGCACACACACACACACACATGAAAATCCTCACAAAGGTTACGCGTACTATACAGCACATGAACGTATATATATATATATTTAGACTCTGCACAAACACACATGCATTATTGGGACTGTCGACACGGACATCGACAGTAGCTGCGGTTCCAAAGCCCAGACTGCGACGTCGACGTCGACGTGGACAGACCTACAGACCTTCCCGTTTTTCCCGCGCCAAAACGCAGCGGGTGTCGACGCTCTTCTACAGTACAGTACACACTTGTGTGTACTGTACTGCATATACTCTCCTTCCCCCAGCCATTCTCCCTCCCTCACTCACTCCCTCTCTCTCTCTCTTCTACAGAGTCGACAGGCACAACAAGAAGGTGCATGGAGGGGGGCTGGTGTTCTTTAGGTACGCCACAAATCAGAGCCAGACAACTGAGCGCCAGGGGGGACAACTCAGCGCTCTGGTCAAAGCAGCAGAAGCAGCCTAGTGTCCCTGACTCGCTCGTTTTTCTTTGTCATGGCATAGGTGTCGCACATGATACTGTGTATGATGAAAATGATGGGAACACTTTTTTCTATGATGCAAGAGTTACAATGAAAACAACTTTTTTTTCTTTTTAGCCTGTCACAGAACCACAGACACTTGATTAGGAGTCATTTTCTCTTGAATGTCTGGTTAAATCAGTGCTTTTATTTTCTTAGGATAGATGTCGCATCTTGAAGTTGATGAAAATTATTTGATTTTATCGTGGGGGGAATTTTTCCTAATTTTTGTTCAACACAAGAGCTGATGAGTGTTCCCCAACCATATTTTGGCCTAAAGGACCAGCAAATTTCCAACAAGTTTTCTGCAGACTGGCAAAGTTTCATAAAAATTTTTGCAGGCTCAGAAAAGTTTTCCTTGGAAGAATTTACGGTGGCAAGTATTTAAGAAGTTACTGCTGGTTTTGAAAAATTAAGTTTAGAACCAATGAAGCAGCTATTGTTGAATGTCTGCAAAAAATTAGAAGAGTGGGCTTCAACAGTGGTTTCTCAGAGTGAAGAAATAATACAATTTATCTCAGCAAGTGAAACTTTGTATGAATGTGTCTGAATATACATCAACCCAACTTTTGTGTCTCATCACATAATTTCCACTGCCATTGTCTTTCCAAAATTGCAAATAAAGATAACAGCTATGCACCTATGCATAGATTACCTACAATGCACTGATTTGAATATTCCTTCCTCCTGGCACTTTAATATTGGTAATCCTGTACTTCAGTAATTGGTTTCCATTACATTATTCGCACACTTTTCTATATTTGCTTTTCTGTGCTTGGGTTTTTTCTACCTGCTCAATCGCGAGAAAAGTCTAACGCAAATACAGTACAAGGCTTTTGTGGCCAGTTTGACTAGCGCTGAGTTGTCTCAAGAACTTTGTTCTTCCTCCTGGCGCCTCATTTGCGACCCCCGCACCGACGTTGCAGAGAGGGAAGGATCGCGACACCGGGGGGGGGGGGGGGGGGGGGGGGGGTAGTACAGTACACACAAGTGTGTACTGTACTGTAGAAGAGCGTCGACACCCGCTGCGTTTTGGCGCGGGAAAAACGGGAAGGACCCAAAGAAAACGCGACACATGCTCAGTAGTGCTTTGCTATTTCCCACTCCCTCACATTCTGCACATGTGACGTGCTTTCTATTTGAATTTTATTTTTTATTCTATTTATTTCAGAGGGGTGAGAGAGGAAGGAACCCCACTTAAAACAGCATGCGTACAACAGGGCTAAAACCGTAATTCCTCCCCACCCCCCTCTCTTTGGCTTGTGCGCCTGCCTTTGCTCCTAATTTTCCTCCTGTCTTGTTTCACTGACTGACTGACTGCACAGGCTAACAGCAGAAAATACTGTACTGTACATCAGTACTATATATTTCAGAAATTGAGAAGCACAAATTGAAATTTTATGCATCTTAGTTTAATTTAATCCAATGATGATTTAATTTTCTGAAAATGATGCAAGCACCTATGATTGTAGACATTTTAAATTTATAGAAAATACTACAGTACTAGTTGAATACATTTTATTCAAATTTATTGCAATGATGATTCAAGTTGCTGTATAGATGCAAACACATATGTTTGTATGCATTTTAAGTGCATAAATGTATAGCAAATTGTACTGTAATGTCTTTCAGAATTTGAAAATTAATTATTTAATTTATTGCAGATGCAAACATCAAGGCTTGTACAGTAAACGTTTTAAATTTATAGCAAATACTGCATTGTATTTTAGAAGTTAAAAAAAGTTAAAAAAAATTGTCTTTTGGAAATTAAAAATCAAGCTAAATTTTGAGCAAGTAAAGTTTAATTTTGATGCAAGCTCCAGTTTGGTTGTGCTGTGATAACAATGTGTAGAATTGGGCTACAGTAGTTCAAGTAAGAACAGTGATTCATGAAACACCTCCCTGAGATGCCAGTAAGTTAATATTCTAGCAGTTGGACTTTTTTTTAAAGAAATAATTCAAAGATTTAAAAAAAGTTTGCATCCCAAAATATGATCTGTAAAATTTTTTGCTCATCAATTGACATGTTCCATGGCAACCTTCACATTCAAAATCACCAACACATAAAAAAGGACATTTTCAGAAATCTTGATATTGGTTTTCAGATTTAAGACATTTCTGCCAGGGGGATTTTTCTTTTTTTTAAATATTCATTCACAGCTGGAAAATACAGAAAATGTGAAAGTTTTACAGGAAACCCTTACTTTTCAAAGTGGTGGAAATCAATTCAACTTTTCTACATTTGCAACTGATGAATGATAATTTCATATGAATTTTTAAAATTCACATTATCTTGCAAACCTGTATTTTTTCATAACAAGAGAAGCACAAGAGTGACAAAATTTTATGAATTACAGTCAACCCCCGTCTAACGGACTTGATTCGTGCAAGGGGCAAGTCTGTTAGACAAAAAGTCCTTTACACAAATTCAATTACATAAAAATTAAAAATTTCAATTTTCAATACTAATTTTAAACCAAAATAAGTCTGTTTGGCGGATTTTGTCTGTTGGGCGGGAGGAAATACTGCTTGCAGAGCTGGTCTGTTCAGCAAAAATCCCATACACGGGAGGTCTGTTAGGCGGGGGGCCACTGTATCTCTCCCAGCTCTTTTTCTTTTAAATTGGTCACATAAGCTTAGCCAATCTTCATAAATTTCCCACAACCTTTTTCAAAAATAACATACAAGTTTCACAAGTCAGACAAGAGAAACTAAAAAGAAAAAAACTGAGTGTGTTTGAAGCGGCTTGTAATTATCCCCAATACGTTATAATTTGTTTCAAAAATTGAGAAATGAACAAATGAAGGCAATACTGTACATGGGAATAAGTGTTGAAAAGAATTCCTCAGAGTGTTTGGCTTTGAATTTTTTTTCTTTCTTGTCAAGGGAACACCTGTTTCAGCACTTTTTCTGCGGAAAAGGAACAATCATGCCCATGATTGGTTCTGTCATCTACCATCAAGCTTCAAGTCACTCAACGGGGGGGGCTTTTAAACATTCATGCCGGCCCTAGGCCCTTTTCTTCATTTTCGTCCACAGCTTTGACATAATTATCACATTCTTCTCCTGCTTTTCAGCCCCTTCCTGGAAAAAGTTAACATAAGAACATATTCTGAGTTTTTTTTTTTTAATTTAAGCTTCACATCTCGGTTTGTAATAAACCCAGGGACATTTTGCAAGTTAATTTTTGGGTTTCTTCTTTTTAAAAGCAGCATCATTTGACGAAATTTGGAATTTCATAAATGTTTTCGATACGATTTGCAGCTGAATACAGTAAAAATCGTTACGAAGAATCTCGCCAGGAAAATTATCAGTTACAACAAAATCGTTTTTCGGGTCCCTGCCCAATAGAATTTTAAATCGCTTTATATAACGGATCTCTTGTGATGAAGAAGATGTTTTCCCGGTCTCGAAAGTTTCGTTGTAACGAGATTTATGAAAATACATATTCTGTGGCACGAATTTAAATTTTGCATGGCCAAAATAATCTTCGAAACTTGAAAAGTCTTCTATTACTCAGAGGCTTGGAAAATTGTTCCGATTACATTTGAATTTACTAAAATTCTCTGCATAGAAGTAATTTTAGTTTTTTTCTTCTTTTAAATATTAGAAGAAACTCAACACTTTTGCAATTTAAGTCTTTTTTATACTTTTCACATGCAGCTTAATTTGAAAAAAAAATTTTTTTAATTTAAAAAAAGGGCTTCAAACGATTCTCAGCTGAATGATACAATGAAAATTTGTATAAATTAATGCAAAGTATGCTCAGTTTTGGGAGCTAAAAAAAATCTTAGAAACTTTGAAAGTCTCTTTTCACACCAACCTTAAATTCAGTAAAATTCTCCGCATAAGTACTGAATATTTTTGGCATCCTTTATTGTTCTTCAGAATAAAAATAAAAATAAAAATTTTTGGCAATATATTGTTCGGCTCCTTTTTTTAACATAGCTCTATGTAACAAAATTAGCAAGTTTATAAATGAGTTTCGCACGATTTGAAGCTTGCTCATAATATTATGAAAATTTGCATAAGTTTTTGTAAATTATGCTCAGTTTTGGGAGCCAAAAAAAATCTCTGAAACTTTGAAAGTCTCTTTTCACATCGACCTTAAATTCACTAAAATTATCCACATAAGTATATTTTTGATATCCCTTGTTTTTCAGAATATAAAAAATAAATAAAATGTTGGCAATATATTTCTGGGCTTCTTTTTTTCCTACATATAGCTTCATTTGACAAAATGAGGAAATTTATAAATGGGTTTAACACGATTTGAAGCTTAATCATACTATTATGAACATTTTCATAAGTTTTTGTAAATTATGCTCAGTTTTTTGGCGCTAAAAAAATCTGTAAAATTTTTGTAAGTCTTGTAAATGTTTTTGATTTCGCCTCCACCTCAAAATCCACATAAATTTTTGTTTTACATAAATGCATTTAGGCATCGTTTTTTTCTTCTCTCCATAATACATACAGTCCAAGAAAATTGAAAATTTCGACGTATAAGTGTCAGAGGCGAACGAGAAACAAATGACTGATGACTGGCGTCATTTTGGCAACCGGTGGACGAATGAGAGAGAAAGAAACGCATGCAGAAACTCGTTCGCCACAACATCCGCCTCATTTCGCATTCTTTCCTATACACGATGATGACGTCGAGTTCGAGGCAAAAAAAAACGAGGTAATTAACGCAGTGGAATTTCGTTTGCGTCATTCAAGCGTTATAAACGAGCATTTCTCGGTGAAAGGGCGAAGAAAGCAGAAAAACATACTGGCTTTTTTTTTTTTTTAAAGACGCCAGCTGCAGAATACAATCTTATTTTCCAAAAAGAAAAAGAAAAAAAAGACCCGAAAAATAGTCGATACTCTCCATGTAAAATAGTTTCCACGAAATGAAAGACTCAATCGATTCCTTTCTTTCCGACCGCAAAAATAAAAATAAAACAGGACTAAACATGATCATTTGATTTTATTTCCCGCGTGACAAAAGAAAGAAAAAAAATCAATCTCCTTCATCACTGTTTCTTCTCGGAATCATGAGCATAGCCCGAGGGCATTTCCACAAGTTCTAGCATTTCAGCAACAAAAACACGCACATTTGAATAATATCAAAATCTATAATTACTTTTCCATAAATCATAATAAATTTATCTTCTATAAATCGATTTCTCTGACAAGGAAATACCAAATTTTTTCAAAACTTTGCTTTTAAATACTCGAGGAAATACCACATTGTGTCAAAACTTTGCTTTTGAATACCATTTCTAAATGCTTCAAGAGAGTTTTGAAAACTTGGAAAAGTGTCAGATGATGAGCATGAACTCCATTCAAGGGAAATGAAACTAATTATGGAACTAATTTCTGAAAAATTAATACAAATTTTAAAGAGAGTGTGTATTTTTTTTATAAGAGTTTTGAAATTCTCTTGGATTTATCCAAGTCAGATTCAATATAACCTCGGGAAAAATAAAATAACAAGCACAAGATAAAGTAATTTAATGTGAACCAGAAATGAAAGCATAAAAACTATAGAGAGAATTATTATTTTCACTATGATTCCAACCATTTTAAAATTTCAAAAATGTGTTTCGGAAACGTATTAAAACCCAAGAGAAAAGTCACAGTTTCCTAAAATTCGCATTTTCATTCTGTATTAAGCCATTTTCCAGGTACGAATGGCGAATACAATTTTCATCAGAATATGTCAAAAATGAAGACAAAATCCATCAATGTCAGGACTGATGAAAAAAAAACGATTGACCTTCAGAACTACAGTGGAATGCGACATTCGCATGTTTCCTGGGATGATGACCTGGGAATCTCTGGTTTGACCTTTTCTATTTTCCTTTTCGCTATATTGGACAGGAGAAACGAAATTTGGCGAGTGCTCTTGAAAGAACTTGACCTTGTACCTGGAAATAAATACGACCCTTTCTGTATAGAATGGGTTAATTTCTGACAATGTGACGCATGAATAATATTTTATTTGGCAAATTTACATTTGAAAGAAAAAGGGAATTTTCATCCTTAATGTCACCACGAATATTATCTTCCACCTCTGGTCCATTTTGAGAAAAGTGCATCAAAAATGGATAAATACAAATTTGAAACCTTTATTTGTGGCGAGTGGAAGGGAAAATACTTATCAATTGAATATTATTTCACATAAGCCAAAATTTAAGTTATTAGCTCTTTGAAATATTGCTTCAACATTTTCTGCAAGACTTGATAATCCGTCAGCTTTTTCCAAACCCCTGGATTATTTTCATCCAAGCCAAATTTAGTCCAACAGTTTAAAAAAAATTGGTTTTACACTTTATGACCCACCCTGTAGAGAATAAATAATTTACTCGTGAAATAAACATGATTAAAAATTTTAAAATTGCTTCATGCGGGGAAATACGCAGACCATTGGCAACTCTGTGACCTGTCAAAGGCGTCGCACGCTTTAAATGACCATCAAGCAAAATGAGAAAGTGTTCTAAAATAAAAATCAAGTCAATCAAGTGCGTATTTCAAGTGAAATAGCGCGTGGAGAAATAACCTATAATTCTTCACAACGTCGTTTAAAAGGCTTTTCATTCTTATTTTTGTTGTGTTCAGGTAAACTCGGCATTTCTGGAACAACGATTTCTCTTTCCCGGATCTTCTGTCACGTCTTAAATCCCCCAACACTTGTCTGGAAAGTGATTCTCATGACGCCGAGGAAAAAAAAAGATTCTCATTTTGCACCCAAACTTCCTGTAGATTTTCTCTTCGTATTGCGTCCATAGTCTCACAAAAAAAGAAAATTTTAAAGTCCAAACATTTTTTATAAAAGTAAATAAATACCTTTCTTCGGAAAAATTTGCACGAGAAACAGGAACCTTCTCGTATTTGTAAAAAAAAATCGAATTTTATGATTGCCTGGGGATGGATTCTCTGTCTTGGTAAAATCTTCACATCAAGAATAATTGCAAGACTCAAAGGTTGCCTTATTTATTATCCTATACACAAACAAACTAAAACATTTTCAGCAGATTTGCCAGGAAATATTTCATCCATGCAAATTTACTGACACGTCAAGCTGCATTTTAAAATACAATAGGACATGAAAAGCTCAAACAGGAAGAAAAAAAACTTTGCCCTTACTCAGTCGAAGTTATTCCCAAATCATAAAAAAGGAAAAATTAACTGGTATCAAGAAAAAAAAAATCGCAGGAATACCATGAATAAAACTCATGTCATCAACATGAACATGCATGAAAGTAATGGTTTCCACAACTCAAATGTGCAATTTTCCACAAAAGTTCATCAGAAAAAAATAGTTACTGCGAAATTTAAGAGAACGATTTTCCAAGTCTGAGTTTCTGGATGTCCTACAGTCCAGCAAATTATTTTTTGATACCTAGATGTCGCCTCCTCCACGTGATTCAAGATGGAATGGCCAAGCATGATTAATTCCTGCAGTAATTAAGAACACTCATATTTTTTCTGTGGAAATAAGGATTGGTTTTCGAATTTTGAAAAATTTAACCATGAATAAGCCGCAGAATAAATGAATAAATTCCCCCCCCCCCTGAAAAATTCAAAATCGCCAATTTTAAAATGAAAGTCAATTTGAAAAAATAAATCCAATGATCTTCTCTAAAGACATCAACTTTTTTTAAGGCAGTTTTTCTCTATGCCCTTACAGAAGTCCATATAATAAAGCATCCTCTCATATGTGCAGTATGACGAGCAGTTGTTGCGGAAAATCGGTGAAAAAAATAATAACGTCGACGACGGAAAGCAAGTGAAAAATAGAAAAAAACCGTAATGAAACATGATGGAGCAGCAGCAGCAGATGCCCATACAGAGCAAAAACTTTTCCTTCAAAGTGTGCCGAAACGGAGCGAGTTGCATTATTCGAAAAATGGAAGAAGAAAAAATAAAGTGAATGTATCTCGCCTCGAGCGCGGTTTTCACTGACTATGCACAGTGAAAAATAAGGGGAGAAAAACCTTCCCTTCGGTTGTTTTTTTTTATTTTCGGCATTATTTTCTCGGGAAAAGTGCCTATACGGGAGTGTTTTTTCCCACGGTTTTCACTTTCCGAACAAGAGGCGTTGAACAGACTTTTTTTTCGGCTCTGTATTTCTTCTTTCAGTCGAAACTAGGCCGTGGATCCAGAAGGACGCAGTAGTGGAAACAAAAAAAAAAACATTTGAAAATATTTCCTTGTTCAGAAATAACAAAAAAAAGTGCAGCATTTTTTCTTTCAATGTGCGACTCAAAACTGATTTCCCACTTTTTTTTCAGCGCAGAAAAATACAGCGTTTTTTTTGCGGGAAATTTCTCATGTTTTCGAAAAATTCGCGAAAAGTGCAGTGATTTGATTATTAAATTTATTTTCCTATACTGTACTTACAAAGTTTGAAAACCTTCAGAAAATACTCCCAACCGCTTTAAAAAAAAATAATTCTGCATTTATGATTTACAATAAAATGTCCGAATGACAGTTTTTTAAAAATTTTTAGATTTTGAAATAGTGAATATTTCAGATGACGCACACTTTATTTCCAGATTTTCAAAACTCACAATTTGAACCAGAAAAATTATAATAATTTGAACTAGATGTTTGCATTTTTACACTTTCCAAGGAAAAACTGGGTGCAAGTGAATTTTTCGAAGTGTATCGATTTGTGACTCGAAAAGCACTGAATCAGGAAACGATGGAATTACCAATACTTTAGAAATACAGGGAAAAATCTTTCTAAAGTAGTCAAAAGTAATACGAAAAGGTTTTCCTCCATATCCTTGCTTTTTCACATTCGACTGACAATTACACCCAATAATTCTTTCGAACACAGCAAAGCAAAAGTTAATCGCCATGAAAATCGTATTTCTCGCGAGGAAACTTTCAGAAACAAAAACAGCAGGTTGTTTTTTTCTGGGGTGATTAAACGAGTGTCTCGCAATTGCTCACAATTTTTCCACGTCATAAAATAGAAAAATAAATCGCAAAAATTGTCGGAATTCGTTACTCCAAGAAACATTCGCGTTTTTGAACACTAACAACAGTTTCCCTTTTTTTTTTCGTGGGGCTCGATTTTGCGCCTCGAAATTGCCGTGACTCATTTTGACAAAGCTAAACAAATTCAGGCAAGCACGAGAATTTACCGAATTTGAAAAAAAAAATAAGAAGGAAAATTTCATTTCATTCTGCTAATTCAGGCAGAAAATGCCTAGAATTCAGTTTTGACGATAAGCTCAACATTTTCCTGGGTTTCCAGAACTGAAAACCTTTTTACCACACTCAAGAAAACAATTTATTCAAAATATTACTGTTTTCTAAAACGTAATCAAAATTACTCATGCAGTTATTTTGTTGAAATACCGTTATAACATGTTATTCAGCACAATAAAATGTTTCCCAAGTCCCAGTGATTTTGTTTTTTTGTAATGGAATTTTACTATATACAGTAGTACCTTTAAAAAAAATGCATTATGCCGAAATACTCTAGGCCTGTTTTGTGTATCCTGAGAGAATTTCAATTGGCCAGAGAAATATTCCTGCATTTGTCCATCAAAGTGGAAAATGATTTCCCACTGGGTAGATGTCACTGCTGGCAGCCATGATGTAATTTCACTTTCACATTTGATTCCAGCATCTTTTACCTACAGTGTATCTTTATTTTTGTGAGCAGAATCACTGTAACTGGCATAAGCCATAATAGTTTCTTTTTGTCTTCTGTGACATTTGTGTAAATTGAATAGGTCCAAATCAATTTAGATTGAATATTTGCTTTAAGCCATCACCTTATGCTTGTTAAATTCACACTAATTCTGGTGCATATTTGAATGATTATTGAAATTTTGAAAGTAAAAAAAAAAACAGAGTCGAGAAATATTTTAGAAACATGTTGAGTCCTTCTTTCTTTTTTATTTCGCCATAGTTTTATTTTTTGTCACGTGAATTTATTGAAAGTCACTAACCTGATGAACCACACTTGATTCGTTTTCTTTCAAATCTCGGTTTTAATCTGTGCCAATACCAAAATAAAAAGTGTCGTGATAACGGCTAAATAATAAGATGAGACCCCGAGTCGTTGTTGTGACGTGTCTGATGATGTTTTTCGCCGATTGTTGTTTCGCGAATCCGTTGCTCTTCGCCAATAATAACAGCAACAACAACAACAATGCGACAGAGGTTGAAAAGAGCAACAATTTGGACGTGAATTCAGCCTTGATCAACACGGAGAAACACGACACTTCGTCGTCGGATGTGCAGGACTTGTTTCATCCCGCAAATCCGCCGAGACCCACGGGAATATTCGGATTCAGTTTCCCTTATGCGAATCCCATGACTGTGTTGCTCCAGCCATTGAGAGTCATTGTCAATGCTGTTTTTTCAGGTGAGATCACTGGGTTTTTTTTTATTCTTTATTTTTTTATTGGTATCCTACAGTATAAACAGACAGAGTTGTTCAAAATAAATTTACTTTGCTCTGGCATTAGCTGTTGTGAGAAAATTAAATGAGGCTCCCAAAGATGAATGAGAAGAATGAAGCTTGAATAAAGATTCTCAAATAATGAATCATCAAATTCTATAAAGAAGGTGCTTAAATTAAACAGATATCTCGGGGTAAAATGAGAATCAACATGGTTGAAAAGCCAGGACTTTGCATATCCTAGTTTGAATAAGTTTTTATATTTTCAAGTTTTTGAATGTGCACAACAAAAAAAGAGTTTGAGTTTTCTTCAAACAAGTTCAAGTTTTTCAAAAGACTTCTCTGCTTGGAGATCACAGCATGGAATTGCAAAAGAATCCCAAGTAAGAGGAGTTGGAAAGAGTTAAGAGACCATGAAGGAGGATCCCAAGGAAAAGGGGGTTTTCCTCCAGGAATGTCCTTGTTGACCCTGGGAAACAAACTTGGGTTTGGTTCACAGGCTCAGGAGAAGAATTCCTCATTTTTTAATAGAGATACAGAGGATTTAGACAGATTAGGAAGAGTGCCATTCTGGCATCAGTTGCCATTTTTTCCGAACATCTGTTAGAATGACATATGCCAAAAAAGTATTAATTTTTATGGCTGGGGTAACATGAAATGAAAAGACTTGTTGTCAAACAAGTAATTTTATGGCACCAGATTTGAACTGTCTTACACCAAGTCTTAGGGAGATAATCTTGGCTTGTAGACAATATTTAATTTTAGAATGCTCCCTCTTGGCAGGCATGCATGCCTCAAACCAAGTACACTTAGGTGACATTAGTCAAAATAACACAATCTTTCCTTCAGACTTGTGTTTTATTATTCATCAATAATGCATCAGCTTTCAATCCTATCACAAGCTCCGCTCCTTCCAGAGGGATTCTTACTACTAAATGGAAAGGGAAGAATTTTGGTCCTTTTAATAATTTGGGTGAGTCTAGGAATGATCATTGGAATGATGTTGCAAGAATTTCAATGGGGAGAGTTGGATGAGCATTGTAAGGACAAGTTTCTCTCCTCAGCAACAGAGTTTCATCAAGGATTTATTATCAGTTGGCAATATACCACCAGCCACTATTATATATATGATTTGGCATATACAGTATATATATATATATACAGTGAGACCCCAAGATTCGGACATAATTGGTGCATCAAGAGTGTCCCTAAGTCAAAATATCCCTAAGTCAAGTCTCATTTTCCCTTACACTTACATTATATAATTTTTAATTGGTGTTCCCTGTACAAAATACTCACCCTAATTCCATAAAAATAAAAATTGTCTCCCAACTTAAACTGATTCAATCAATGTATTTCAACACAATATGAACATTTTGGGAATTGAATACTGATACCTCATCTGTACAGTGTGTTGGCATTTTCTGTAAAAATAAAATTCAAGTGAAAAAGAGAGAAGGAAATCTCTCTGTATATGCTGGAGGTAATTATTTTAAATTAGCTAAATAGATGGTAAATTGGCGAGAGAAATGCCCAAGAACTTACAGTGTGTTGGCATTTTCTGTAAAAATAAAATTCAAGTGAAAAAGAGAGAAGGAAATCTCTCTGTATATGCTGGAGGTAATTATTTTAAATTAGCTAAATAGATGGTAAATTGGCAAGAGAAATGCCCAAGAACTTTTCTTACATCAATTTTAGGGTTTGAAACATCTGTTTCATGTAAATTTGCTTGAAATTTATTTGCAATTTTATTGCAAAATGTCCCTATGTTGAGTCAATGTCCTCATGTCGGGACTTTTTTGTGATTTTTTAATGGTAAAATAAGTGTCCCTAGGTCGAATCGTCCGCGGGTCGAGGCGTCCGCATGTGGGGGTCTCACTGTACCTGCAGACCAGCAAAATACTTAAGCTACTTAAGCAGACCATCACTGGTCCACTGACCTCAGGTTGGGGAACAGAACACTGCTCTTTACCATTTAGAAGAAAAGTTACACATGAGTTGAGCACACCTTCATACCCCCCCCCCTCGAACATGCACATGTATTTTTTTTGTTGTTGTTGCTAAATTAGTCTCAGGCTGTGATACAACTTCCGTCCTGCTTGACAGTGACTGTTCCCGGTTACCCCTTCATCCCCCCCCCCCCCCCCCAAAAAAAAAAAAAGGTCAGCAGTGAGAAACTTAACAATTATTTTTCAATTTTTCAAAACAGGTGATCCTGGCTTGCGTTTATTGCTCTGGCATTGCCGCATCCGCACTTCTCAGATCAGATTACGATGACTTATGCTCGTCTGACAAGGCCTGCGAATCTGGATTCCAGTGCATCAACAAAATGTGCATTGAACTTTGTCTAGAGCAGAGTCTTTGTCACCCATCAGCTCGGTGCTACGTACTGAGCACCAAGCCCGTGAGGACCATGATTTGTCTGTGTCCACCGGGAACAGTCACTGTCAAGCAGGACGGAAGTTGTATCACAGCCTGAGACTAATTTAGCAACAACAACAAAAAAAATACATGTGCATGTTCGAGGGGAATTGAAGGAACAACAAGAAAAAATAAGGCTCAGCATTTATACACTATACTCTTTCAGGTCATTTCGGAAGCCAGCACACAGTTGTATATTCATACATACTGTATGAATCAAACTTCTTAATTCTTTGTCACGCGCCAGCACACAGAGAGACTGTGCCATATATTGTTTTAAAAAATGTATAGAGAGTTCTCTCCTCTATATTTGGATTGGAAATACAGTGCTTGGCATTTTATCGATGCATTTTGGTTCATGTCAATCCTTAATCGAAACGTGAATTTTATGTATCTTTTTCAGATTATTTTAATCTGCCAAAAATTCAGCTTCCTGATGGGCGCTCTGTGGCAGATAGGGCACAGCATAAACCATCAATCATATGTACGAAGTATTTGCTACACTTGGACTTGGTTATGAAAATGTTTATCAAATACCAAATGAAAATAAGAAAAACATAGTATTGCGGGGACTTGAGCAGCGAACCTGATATTAGTTCCCAC